CAAGTCTTCAAACGTTGACCAAAGATCCAAACTCAATGCTGGCTGTCATGTTCTCAGAGAAGTTTGACATAATCAAATTCTGGTTACTAATTTACAAGGAAACGAGTAGCAACATGAAGGGAGAATTGACAATCAGTACTGGGGAATTAAAGGGTCAATGACGAAGTGTCACTTTTCATTGTGTAATCTTCTATGCTTGGATGTGTGCGCCATTTGTGCCTTCACTGCAAGTTTCAGTTAGTAGTCCTTTTTTATTTTCAGAGTGTATGTCAAAGGCAGTAGGTTTAGCATTTCTGAGTACACCTGTAACTTCAAGTCACAATTCTAAACTCCTTTATGCAATTCCTGTGACATCTTTTGATGTGTTTAGCCTTTATTTTTCAAAAGTGCCAACAGTGACACAATTTTTTTCCCTTTCTTAGTGGAGCCATGCATAATTCAATATTGTGATGTGCTTCTTAATTACAAACATGGGGAATTGGCACAGAGACAGTATTGCATCATAATTGTGAGCAAGCCAGCTCAAGCTCAGAAGTACAAGTAATTTAACATTCTTCAGATTATTGTATTTATTTGTGCTACAAGTTGGTTTTTTTATCCCTAATAAAAGTACAGTTCTGCAAGGTACTAATTAAAAGAGTTTACTTAGGGGATTTAAGTTCAGTTGCTTAATTTCTTAGCTTGCTTAGCTCATGTGTGTGATATACCTCATTTGCACTCTTAGTGTTGTGTCTTCACTCGTAAAGCAACTTTAAACTTTTAAAGATACGACCTTTAATACACAACGATTAAACTAAAACTGACCAGCAACGTACAACACATGCGGTTACAAACAAAAATGCTAATAAGTTCATAACAGTTCTGGGTTACGAAACTCCCGCGGGATTTTAAGCAAATTAACATAACACTCTTTCCCCGACAAAAAACTGAAAATATTGCTATTCTAAGTCCTTAGGCTATCTTCCAAAATAAAACCGTACATCCGTTCATCATTTCTGCTCTTTCCAAAATAGTAATTACATTTCTTCAATTAACCGCTTTGGTTTACTACGAAGTCTAGTTGGATAACGCTTTCGAACTTGAACTTTGGCGGCTTCCTCGGTAACTTTAGCGGGTTCCTCTGTTCGGGATACACTAGGCATCTGCGGTGGTGGCACGGCAGATAAATCGGGCGCCTCAGTTGCAGAGACTGGTACCAAATTCGGCGAACCCTGAGGCCTTGGCGGAACGACATGATTATAATCTGCTTGCGAGTCTGACGATTCAATTGGCGGTGCTTCCGGAGGACGCACAGGTATCACTTCAGGATAAGCATCATCAAAAGGAATCTCTGCCATAGGTTCGGTATCTACCACCTTGGAACCAGCTAAAGATCGCAACTGATTCACGTGTCGTTTCCAAAACAAATTCCCCACCATAACATGATACGTAACAGGCCCCACGCGATCTTGAAGAACTCCTTTGATTCACGGTCGCTTATGATCTCGATAATCTCTAACCATGACTGGGTCACCAGGAAGAAAGTTAGGACGTGTGGTATGGTTTCCAAGCTTAGTTTTCTCAGACATCCTGGCCGACAAATCTGGATGCAAGGCGTCCAATCGGGTGCGAATTCTACGACTCATCAGGATTTCAGCAGGAGTACATCCAGTAGCTGTATGAGGGGTTGTCTGGTAACTCAGAAGGAAACGTACTAATTTGTCCGCTTGGGTTCCGGGCTCATCTTGCATGGTTTTCATTGACTCTTTAAAAGTTCTTACGGCTAGCTCGGCTTCACAATTGGAGGCTGGATGGTAAGGCGCGGATAATCAATGACGAATTCCATTTGACTTCAGGAAGTCTTTCATTTCCTGAGCAACGAACTGCAGACCGTTATCGGAGACGATGACCTCTGGTAGACCATGAGTAGCAAACAAGAAACGCAGGACTCGAATGGTCGTTGATGCAGTGGTCGAGGACATTGGAAATACTTCAATCCACTTTGATTTCGCGTCCACTACAATCAGAAACATCTGACCTTTAAACGGACCGGCGAAGTCGACATGTATCCTCTGCCAAGGTCGTGTGGGCCAGATCCAGGGATTGCTGACTTTCTCTGGACTCTTACAGCGATTTGCTTGGCAGGCATGGCAATCTCGCACTGTTTGCTCCACATCGTGATCGAGGCTGGGCCACCACACATGCAATCTGGCTAGAGACTTCAAGCTCGTACGGACCATTCCGGGATGATTCAAATGCAATAGGCCTTTTGCAACAAACCGTCACGTGACCGATTTTCCCTTGGCAACGCCATACTGGAGGGCAAGCCATTCAGTCTTTCCTTGACAACCAACAAAGCGCGAGTGGGCGAAGTGGATACAAAGGTAAAGTTAAAGGTCTTTTAAGGCGTTTGTTTGTCGTGATGTCACAAGAAAACAATAAGATAATATCTCT